AAAATTGGTGGATGAAAACAGTTAATGGCATGACTGCCAAGCAAACTACTCTCTGTGTGTTTGGCTGTAATTACCATGTCATGTCCTTATCGGCAACATGTAGGATATTTCATGCTCTATTTCACATCTTAAAGGTAAAGAATTGAGTCTGTCATCTTTTTAATCTTCCTTTTTTAAAACACCAATTTCCCTTCCCTAAGGTAAGTCTGAAAACGAAGCCAAGAAACAGCAGAAATAGAGATAGACCTTGCAATGTTTGAATTCATAAAGTATCGGAATGATCTTATTATAGACTACACAATAAAAACCACATTTCTCCATCAGTAACTGTGTCTTGTTTCCAAGTGAAATGATTAGCCCATGCTTAAACAAGATACATATATTGGAGAAACATACGATATTAAGGTTTGAATTAGGTTTTTTTTCCCCTTTAACTTTAACAGTTTATTTTCCTTTACTTTAAACCTGAAGTCTGGTTTGATTTGTGCTTAAAAAATGAAAAAACTGTTTGCCAGTAGGGTGATTAAAATAGATTCAACACAAAAATAGTCTGCTGCTTCAATACAAAAATAGTGCTGTCGTGTAGTCAAATGTCTAATCGTGATCACAATATGCAATTTAGTGAATGGAATTAATGGTATCAAAAAGCAGCACATTTGACAGACCTTGTTCAACCACTCACTGCTCATAAACGCAAAGTTTCTAATCAGCCAATCACATGGCAGCAACTTAATGCATTTAGGCATGTAGACATGGTCAAGATGATCTTCTGCAGTTCAAACTGAGCATCAGAATGAGGAAGAAAGGAGATTTAAGTGACTTTGAACATGGCATGGTTGTTTCTACCAGACGGGCTGGTCTGAGTATTTCAGAAACTGCTGATCTACTGGGATTTTCACCCACAATCATTTCTAGGGTTTACAGAGAATTGTCCGAAAAAGTGAAAATATCCAGTGAGCGGCAGTTCTGTGTGCGCAAATGCCTTGTTGATGCCAGATGTCTGAGGAGAATGGCCAGACTGGTTCTAGCTGAGAGAAAGTCAACAGTAACACAAATAAGCACTCGCTACAACCGAGGTCTGCAAAAGAGCATCTCTGAACATACAACGCGTCCGACCTTAAAGCGGATGGGCTACAGCAGCAGAAGACCACACCGGGTGCCACTCCAGTCAGCTAAGAACAGGATACTTAGGCTACAATTCACACAGGCTGACTAAAAATGGACAATAGAAGATTAGAAAAACAATGCCTGGTCTGATGAGTCTCGATTTCTGCAGCGATATTCAGATGGTCAGGTCAGAATTTGGCATCAACAACATGAAAGCATGGATCCATCCTGCCTTGTATCAACAGTTCAGGCTGGTGGTGGTGGTGGTGTAATAGTGTAGGGGATATTTTCTTGACACTTTGGTTCCATTAGTACCAATTGAGCATTGTTTCAATGCCACAGCCTACCTGAGTATTGTTGCTGACCATGTCCATCCCTTTATGACCACAGTGTGCCCATCTTCTGATGGCTACTTCCAGCAGGATAACGCACCATGTCATAAAGCGTGAATCATCTCAGACTGGTTTCTTGAATATGGCAATGGGTTCTCTGCACTCAAATGGCCTCCACAGTCACCAGAACTCAATCCAATAGAGCACCTTTGGGATGTGGTGGAACGAGAGATCCGCATTATGGATGTGCAGCCGGCAAATCTGCAGCAACTGCGTGAAGCTATCATGTCAATATGGACCAAAATCTCTGTGGAATATTTCCAGTACCTTGTTAAATCTAAGCCATGAAGGATTAAGGCAGTTCGTAAGGCAAAAGGGGGTCCAACCGGGTACTAGTAAGGTGTACCTAATAAAGTGGCCGGTGAGTGTATAGTAAATTACTGAAAAAAAGTAATATAATTAATTTTTTTATTTATTGCTTTGTAGCTTTCGTCATTTCTTTTCAATTGCTTTGTGGTCTGATGAGTTTTACACAACATTTTGTGTAGAGCTTTAAAATAAATATACAAGATATTAAATACCTGTACGTACGAAGTCATCAGTTCAGGTTTCAAGTCACTTGATTTACTGCTTAAATGCTTATGGTTGCATTAAACCATCATTAACCCAAAATCGTTATTCCAAACTGCTCCCTCCAAGCAGTTTTACACAACTGTTAGGTTAATTTTGCATGATGTGATCACTCCATATACGCACTGTAAACTCCATCATCTGAGTCGTAAGAGGCTATTTATTATTATCTGCATGCACTTCTGCAATCATCCCAGCGTGAAACGAAAAACCCGTAAACTAAATGAAGACTTGCAAACCATTACTTCCACTTTTGCAGAATTGCTTCTATTGTTCGGCCTTTTCGGAGACGCACATGTGGAGGGCAGAATAGCTTGTAATTTCATGCATGCCGTTTCTTCTGCGCTAAACCTGAAATGAAAACAGAAAGGGTAAAAGACTTTGTACTGTGTTGGAGGTGGGATTAAAAAAAGCATTCAGGAATAAAGACGCAAAAATAAAGGACTGTGAATGCCTCTCCGTAGTCACCGAGCCCCGACGACTACAAAGCGGAGAAGAGAAGTCTGGGTAATTAGTGCTCAATTGGCCGTCTAATGAGAGGGGACGGCCTGTGGTCCCCCCCCAACAGTCATCCACTTCTCTGTCTGGCTCTGAGATGTTTATTCAGCTGCTCTCGCAACCCAAACATGAGGCATAATTCACCATAATCACTGCAGTTACTGGCACACAGAAGCTCGGAGTCCGCTAAATAAATTAATTAGGAACAAATTAATGCCGACGCGTTTTAAAAGGGCTCACATCCCACTTATTTCAAGGTCAACTTATGTTTTTATCTGCATGGAGAGTTTTTTCAAGGGCATTAGAGATGATGTAGCTTTTAAACTTTATGTACAGTTGAAGTCAAAATTATTAGCCCTCCTGATATTTTTTATTGTTTTCTTTTTCAAAAATTTCCCAAATGATGTTAAGGAGGGGCGAGGCAGTGGCGCAGAAGGTAGTGCTGTCGCCTCACAGCAAGAAGGTCGCTGGTTCGAACCTCGACTCAGTTGGCGTTTCTGTGTGGAGTTTGCATGTTCTTCCTGCCTTCGCGTGGGTTTCCTCCGGGTGCTCCGGTTTCCCCCACAGTCCAAAGACATGCGGTACAGGTGAATTGGGTAGGCTAAATTGTCCGTAGTGTGTGAATGTGTGTGTGGATGTTTCCCAGAGATTGGTTGTGGCTGGAAGGGCATCCGCTACGTAAAAACTTGCTGGATAAGTTGGCGGTTCAATCCGCTGTGGCGACCCGAGATTAATAAAGGGACTTAGCCGACAAGAAAATGAATGAATAAATGATGTTAAGGAGCAATTAATTTTTTTTTTACCGTATTAAAATTATTATTTTACCTATAATATTTTTATTCTGGAGAAAGTCGTATTTGTTTTATTTCGGCTAGAATAAAAGCAGTTTTAGATTTTTTTAATGTCGATATTATTAGCCTGCTTAAGAAATATTTGTTTTTCCGATTGTCTACAGAAGAAATCACTGTTATACGATTACTTGCCTAATTAACCTAGTTAAGCCTTTAAATATTAATGGGAAATGGGCATTTTTAAAAATTTCTTGTAATGATTAAGGTGGCACGGTGGCTTAGTGGTTAGCATTGTCACCTCACAACAAGACGGTTGCTGTTTCCAGCATTCCAGCATTGACATTTCTGTGTGGAGTTTGCATGTTCTCTCCATCTTGGCGTGGGTTTCCTCCGTTTCCGCAAACACATGCACTAAGTTGAGTTGGATGAACTAAATTGGCCGTAGTTTGTGAATGTGTGAGTGAATGGGCGTTTCCCAGTACTGGGTTGCGGCTGAATGGGCATCTGCTGTGTAAATATGCTGGAACAGTTGGAGGTTCGTTCCGCTGTGATGACCCCTGATAAAAAAGGGACTAAACCGAAGGAAATGAGTGAATGAATGTACAGATTTATACCAAGGTCAATATCTATACCACCCTAGTACCTTGTTACTTGTTTTATGCTTGATGTATGCACAAATCGGCCAAGCAGAATCTTAGTAATGTGAAACCTCTCAGGTATATCGCAATAAACACAGTTCTGATTTGCGTTGGGTCGATAGACTGCCATCATCCATCGCTGATGGCCAATAGACACCACAATGCTGAGCTGGCATTGTGATCCTCCGCCCCGCCCCCATTCCCAGCAGCAACCCTCTCGCGAAAAATACACACTTAGGCTCTGTTTACACTAATATGTCTTAGTTTTAAAATGACATTTTTTAACGAAATCAATCCACGTCTACACTAGTGTTTCACCTAGAATTTCTGGAAAGATCTTTCCGTCCACAGCTGAAAACGCTCATCACGTGACCACACACACACAAACTCTTGTTATGCGCTGCAGCGTCTGAGCTCTTGCAGTCAGCCCAGTTTATCAAGGATGTACTGCTGGATCGTGTCTCACTAAAATTGTTAAATGTGACATTTAATCCTGTCTCTATCTAACGACTCTTCAGTCTTTTGAATTTATCAGGTAACATGTCATGTTGTCAATACACTGCTTCAATCTTTCGCTTTCGCACTTTTACTTAGTAATTTTAGCATAAACCTCAGATACTGTTGGCTGGTTCCTGTTTTTTGTGCCCCTTTTTTACCAACCAAGTTTGTTGACGTCGTTATAATGACACAGATCACTCTGCCTATTCATCCTAGAATCCCGCTAAAAAAGTGATTGACAGGTGGTCATTTGTGCGTAACTTATCTTTATTTATCTATGATTTGGTTATGGGTAAAACAAAGAACATGCAGGTCAGGTAGTTGAAACGGTAGTCTACAAATAATTAATTTGGTATGAACTAATTAATTATTCATAAATAATTTATTCACCGCCGCCTATGACAACGATGCCATCGCAATATTTCACATTATACATTGTATGATTTGGTTGACCTCGCCCAACCCTATTCCGACTCTGATTTGGCCATGTTTTGGCTGTGTTACAGACATCGATGAGTGTGCCAGCGAATATAATGGAGGATGTGTTCACGAGTGCATCAACATCCCTGGAAACTACAGATGCACGTGTTATGACGGCTTCCGTCTGGCCCACGACGGACACAACTGCTTGGGTAAGTCCTCCTTTGTCATATATTTTGGGTAAATACTGCTTTAAAAAGTGTCCACAGACAAAAAAAAAATGCTAAAAGACAAATAATTGTGTGTGAGGAAAGATTGAGTTAACTGAAATTTTCTTCCCTGATATTTTTGTCTGGTTCTGTTTATAAAAAAATCTACAAATCTTTGATCAAGATATTTTGGTCACACTTCAATAAAATCATACTTTAGAATTGCTCATAAACAGTTAATATATTAATAATAGGCAGATAACAACCCAGTAGTAAATGGTGTGAATTGTTAGTTAAACTTATGTAACCCCGCCACCCAACCCGCTCCGAGCTTGTATCGAACCGGCGACCCTCCGCATGGAAGTCGGTTGCTCTAACAAGGAGACTAAAGACCATGGCCTCTAGCGTCTGTCGCTAGAGCACCTTTAGAGGTCAGAGGAGTAAGGTTTACCTGCACGACACTTACTAGCTGGCCTCCGTTACACTCACCCCTCTAAACCTCACTCCCATCTGGGTCACGGCACCAATGTAACCCCGCCAGTCCTACGCCACCCAACCTGCTCCGAGCTGGTATCGAGCTGGTACCTTCCTCTTGGGAGTCGGTTGCTCTAACTAGGAGGCTAAAGACCATGGCCTTGGCGTCTGTCGCTAGAGCACCTTCATGCTGCGTTCACACCAGACGTGTCAAGCGTGAGCGATTTAAATGTTAAGTCAATGCGAACGCGCGAATAGACATCCTGCGGTGCAATACGCGCGAATGGCGCAAATTGCGTAAATGGAGCAGGGCGAATTGAGCGTTTTGCGCGTTTGACGCACCTAACGAGCGTTTCACGCGAATCTCTCGATTTCGAAGATCTGAACTTCAGCTTGCTCTTGTGGGGGCGTGATTGTGACGTAGAACCTGTTGTCGGTGTTTCGAGAGAAATCCTCCAGCCTTCACCGACAACAGTTTATCAAACTGGGCTTGGCTCAGTCAGAAGCACTGCTGAAAGCCTCCGTCATCCAGGTTAAGTTTCTGGAGGAGTTTATGAACTCACAGAGCTGGATGCACCTCTGAAAGGATGTAGTGGACTCAGACACGACCCTAAACGTATCGACGCTGTTTTTCAGTCTTCATAAAGCACATAAACACTTATTTTCTTCATAAAATCCATGTTAGCCATTTAGCTATGAAGCTAGAGTCTTCGGGCAGACAGAAGCCCTGCCCATCACGCGAATCCGCGTCTGTTCTGATGTAAATTTGACACACAAATGAACTCAAATGTTCATGCGGCTATTTACGCGCGATTTATCTGCGCGTTCTGCGTCTGGTGTGAACACAGCATTAAAGGTCAGAGGAGTGAGGTTTACCTGCACAGCACTTACTAGCTGGCCTCCGTTACACTTACCCCCTTAAACCCTACTCCCATCAGAGTCACGGCACCAATGTAACCCCGCCGGTCCTACGCCACCCACTCCGAGCTGGGATCAAACCGGCGACCTTCCGCATGGGAGTCGGTTGCTCTAACAAGGAGGCTAAAGACCATGGCCTCTAGAGTCTGTCGCTAATGCACCCTTAGAGGTCAGAGGAGTGAGGTTTACCTGCACAGCACTTACTTGCTGGCCTCCGTTACACTTAAGTGTTTCTGATGTGTTTAAAAATCTCAGGCCATTAAAAATGTATGTGAAATGTTTTTATTGTTGATTCTTAAAATGCAAGTCAATGGTCATCCTTTTTTAAAATTAAAAGTCCTTGTGACTTACTGAGATGCACTCTCTTGATGATACCAATGTCTTATGATGAGAAATGATTGGCCTGTGCAAGACATTAAATATGATTCACAACATAGATCTCAAACTGGATTTCTGGAGGGCCACAGTTTTTCTCCAACCCTAATCAAACACAGCTCATCAACCTAATCAAGGTGTTCAAGACTACTAGAGACTATTAAGCAGGCTGGAGTTAAACAATACAGAGCTGCGGCCCTCCAGGAATTGAGATTGAGACCATTGATTTACAATATTGTTAGCTATAATCAACAGCCTGGTCAAACAGATCTCAGCACATGCATGAGACCTCAGTGTATCATGATTATGGGGATTGATTTGGACTTGTTTTTTTGTGTCCATCTTTTATTTCAAAAACTGCTGACAATTGACTTGCGTTATAAGAATCACCCAGGATTACGTATTCAGCTTCAAATATTCTTTTATGTTCTACTTAAAAAAAAAACTTCTACATTTTTGATGACATGAGGGTGAGTACATGAACTGTACATGTTCATTTTAAGATGAGCTGTCCCTTTAAGATGCCCATTTTGTGCTTCTCCTCCTACAATAGTTTCACATCTATCCAAGGTCAAAAAATATGTCATGTTTTCCTAATAGACACTGCAGCATCGGCTCTTTTCTAACAGTGTCTGAAATGGTTGGATTAGGGATCTGGCCTCTCTTAACCCTGCCTTTGTCAGAGCTTGCTCTGATCTGACTGGTCATATTGTTTATTCTGTTGTTATTGGTTTGTCCATTAGTAGTGAAGTAGAATCAGAAAGCAGTGGCTGGGTTGGTGCCAATAGCCTAGTGGTTAAGTGTGCAGACATATAGCACTACGGTGCTTAGGGTGACCCAAGTACGATTCCCAGCTCGAGGTCCTTTGCAGACCCTACACCTTTCTCTGCTCCTAATGCTTTCCTGTTTGTAACCTCAACTGTCCTATCTCAATTTAAGGTAAAAAAAATAAATAA